CCAGGGCAGGGGTTGGCACTGCATGATTTTTTGAGAAACCACACAATCTCTTTTTGCCCTTAGTGGCCATCAATAAAAAATACTAAAGGCAGAGCAAGCTGGCTAGTGAACTGGGGCAGTGTGAGAGCTCCCAGGGGCAGCCTCAATGGCCTTACCTAGTCATGAATATTCTGCCTGAAATGGAGAAAGTGGCAGGAAAATGCTCCAACAGACAAGGCAATGATGAGTGTGCTGCACATGCCCTTGAACTAAATCCCTGTTCAGAGAAAGCATCAGATGAGTAAGAACAGTCCTAGGAAGGTTCTATTTTATGAAGAAAAATTCAGTCTCTCATGAGAATACTTAAAATCTTCAGAAGAAAAACACATAAGACAAAAGCAGTTACTGATGACACTTTAATTTGGTATGGTCAGACCTTTTTGGAGGAGAACCAACAGAGTAAGACAGAACTAGAGGACAGGCAGTGCCATATTTACAGCCATTCAGAGTGTGAAAGCAGATCTCAGTGTGACAGAGGCATGAAAACAAAGAACAGTCTTTTTTTAGATTATTATCGGAATTTTATTATATTATCTCCTTAACTGTTCAAACAATCTGTTGCATTTTTTCCTGCCCAATTCTAACCCAGCAGTTCCCCCTCAAAATGACTTGGGATACAAAAAAAAAAAGCCACTTTCTCTGTTTGTAAACAACAAAACACCTGTTTTTGTCTTTGCAAACCTTACTGGAGTGGCACAGCAGAGTTAACACTAATGCTCTAGGCTTTACCATTAAATAAAAAAAACCAGTTGGGCAAAGGGGAAAAAACCAGAGTGAGTCAGTGGAATCATTCCGTTGTATTCTGGATGACAATCAGCAAGTAGTCTTTATCTGGAGAGAAAAAAGAGACAATTATTCTTTGATTGCTGCTATTTGCTCAGAGAAACAGCAAATTTCACCATTTTTCACACCTCACTGAGATGCTGTGGGAGCTCTGGAGCCCTGACACTCAACAACAAAACAGGCTTGGCATATCACATCACTTATATTTCTGAGTTTTTTTCAGTAGAAGTCTCAGGTTTAGAAACTGCATGCTCCCAAGGCAGCTGAATTTAACCCAGTCTGTGCCAGGAAACAACAGGAACTGAAGTGACACATCCAACAACGGTGCCAGGCAGGGACTTCCCTGATCTCACAACACACATGGGCTGCAGTGGCTGCAGCTGTGTTTGCTCTGGAGCAACGCTTATCCCTCTGTTTCCATCCTTCCTCTGGAAATCACAGGCTGCCCCAGCAGCAACTGGAGCCTGTCTTAAGGTCTGCCTGAGCCGTCCCTGCAGAGCAGCCTGCTGCAGCAGCCACCCCACCAGCACGGTCCCAGCACAGGGACATGGCCAAGCTCCTGCCACCCTAGAGAACTGCACTCATCTCACTGCCTCCCCTTTTGGAGTTAGGTGGAATACTGAGGATGTTTCCCAAATGGAAGGCTGCCACCCCTATATTCCACAGCTCATGGTTACAGCTACAATACTTTGTGCCCTAGTACTTCTCTCAGAACTACAAAACCGTAGGACTGTTAGGCTTCATCACTCAGCCCACACGGCTGAATGGAAATTGCTCCTTTCCAAATCCTGTGGCTTTATATTGAACACAAAGCATGAGAAGCTGCCAAGCACCCTCAAACACTATTTAATACTTTCTACTTTGATCCGCATGGAATGAGGGAAGTGATTTCCCACTTTCAACACGACAAAGCAAACTCAGGTCAATGATAAAAGCCTTCAACTGGAGACAGCAGAAACGCTGCTTGGAAAGAAGGGATTGGACAAAGTGAACACAAGCAGCAGAATGCAGAACGCTTCTCCTGTCAGTCACAAACCTGCTGGATCCCTGGTGCCTGATTTGAGCCCACTAATTTTACCTGGAGCCACCATGATCTCGTTTTTCTTGGAGCGGATGCGCAGGAAGGTGAGGTCATTCTGGGGGTCAATGTCCCGCACGGTGCTCCGAGCCTTCATGATGAGGTTCTGCATGAGGCCTGCGTACTGGATCGTGGTGGAGTTGTCCATGGTGCTTTTAATAGGAATACCTGCAGAGAAGAGGCTCAGTGACAAGACTCCTGACCCAAATCTGCCCTGAGAATCACCAGGTGAAGCTGGGTAGCTGTTTCACCTCGATAGGTGTCACTAGAACAAGGGTTAGGAGTGTTCTTTGTAAATGTGAAAGAACATGAACAGAAATAAGCTGTGGACAAGGTGAGACCTGGAACCACAGGTATAGGTGAGAACTTTGTTAGGAACTGCAGGTACAGGACAAGGGGCAATGGGGAGAAATTGAAAGAGGGAAATTTAGATTGGATCTGAGCCAGAAGTTGTTGGTGGGAGGGTGGTGAGACACTGTCCCAGGTTGCCCAGGGAGGCTGTGGCTGCCCCAGCCCTGGCAGTGTTCACAGCCAGGTTGGCTAAAGCCTTGAGCAACCTGCTCTGGTGGGAGGTGTCCCTGCCCAGGGCAGGGGGTTGGGGCTGAATGATCTAAGATCCATTCCAATCCCGTAATATACTATGAATTTATGAACTGTTTACCTCTGGCAGCATCAGAGCTTTACTTTGGCATTTTCATTTATTTATTTATTAGAAACAGAAATAAATAATAATAAAAATAGGTATCTGTAGAGGAGAGAGGAAATGCCAATGTTTAAGTTTTGTACTCCTGACTGGGGACACCTTTTCCTTTCAGAAAGGCTCCTGAACAGCACAGTTAAATGATACTCAGGTGAGCTAGGCTGAGGTTGGTGGTTACAGAGGACATTAGCTGTGGCATCACACACTTCCAAGGAGAAGACTCCAACATTTAGCCATAGCAGGTGTTGCAGTCCTGCCAGGTCCCTGGGTCAATGCCTGTCACCAAACTCCCTGTTTGGCCAGAGCTTTCCCTCCCTTACCCTTCTGCCACCGATTAGACGTGTTTTCCCACAGAGAGACAGTCAGACCTCAGCTCACATGTCAGAACAACACAGCAGCCCAGTACCGAACTGTGGCAGCGCACGACCACTGGTTGATGTTCCAGTGAGCACAGCTCCAGCCTGGAGAGCACAACCCATTGCTCACCATCATGGAGAAGCAGTGGGCAGGAACCAAGCTGCACACATGTATCCAATGACCTAATCCTCAGTATGTTCACACAGAGCTACTATCTTGTCATCTTTTCTAAGGACTATTTCTAGAACATACTTTAATTAAGCTGATAATCACACAATTTTAAGAAGCTGGGCCGCTCACAGTGTATTCAGAGTGCTCTGAAGAATTCTGCTCTGTTGGACCTTCAGTGACTTAAAAAAGAGATGATCCGCTGATAAGTCCCATGAGGCCACAAACACCAGACAGTGCTAAGGAACTCAACTCTGCCAGGCCAGCATCATCCTGGCCATGCACAGCAGCAAGATTCCTTATGCCATGAGAGCTTTTACTACTGATAAAGGTCTCAAGCACTGGCATAACTCAAATATTTCTAAGCTCTTGCAGATTATTTATTTCCTCAGATCATAAAGTGAGCTTGCAGAAAAGCAGAAATGGGAATCCAATTTTCTCGTGTAGCCTAATTATTGTCTGTCTGCTTTGGCTAGAGGCACAGCTCTGCTAAGGCCTGGCTGTAAGCTAAGTGCAAGCGGCACAATCATAAAACCACAGAATGTTAAGGGGTTGGAATGGAGCTCAGAGATCATCCAGCCCCAACCCCTGCCCTGGGCAGGGACACCTCCCACCAGAGCAGGTTGCTCAAGGCTTTAGCCAACCTGGCTGTGAACACTGCCAGGGCTGGGGCAGCCACAGCCTCCCTGGGCAACCTGGGACAGTGTCTCACCACCCTCACACCAAAAACTTCTGCCTAAAATCTAATCCAAATTTTCCCTTTCTCCCCATTCCTCCTTGTCCTGTCCCTGCAGCTCCTAACCAAGAGTCCCTCTGCAGCTTCCCTGGAGCCCCTTCAGCTCCTGGCAGGTTGCTCTGAGGTCTCCACACAACCTTCTCCTCTCCAGGCTGAACAGCCCCAACTCCCTCAGCCTGTCCTTGCAGGAGAGAATCTCAGCAGCTCTCCAAGCCATGGTTAGAGTAAGTTACAGCTCAGCACAGCAAGGCTGACACAGCACCTTCCGAATTCACCACGATGATTCCTTGCACTCCTTTCTGGCTCTGGATTCGCTTCAGCGTTTCCTCCACCTCAGCCTGCAAACAGAGGAAGCACAGATCAACAGGAGGTCATTACAACTGCTGTTTGCCTTCCCCCAAAGCTCTGGAATAATGTGTCTGAAAACAAAGCTACACAGGGGTGACTCAAACAGATCCTGCCCACACTGATCTGCATAGCCAAGTGTCTGGACTTCGGTACCACCTTCGCTGCATGACCTTTCCAGTTATTTTCCATCTGTCTTTCTCTTCATTCACTTGTGACTATCATCTTGTGCAAATCTGAACTCCTCTCTAATCTTTCCCTCTCTCCTCCTCCCCAATCCTTCTGAAGAGCTGCAGTCAGACCACTACAATTTAGATATCAAAAAAAAAAAATAATGTTGAAAATGGACATGGAATTTAAGAAAAAAGTAGAAAAATATCCATTCTGGGTGCAAGATTACCTTTCCTTTCATCAAATGAAGGCTAGGAGCAATGACACATCAGAGAAGTGATGGGAAAACAATGGGTAAATGCTGTTTGTTTGTAATTCTGATTTGTGCTGGGATAGCAACGCATAATAAACACTATATAATTTACAACTTAAAAAGGAAAAATGCAAAGTGCAGGCCAAGGCAGTAATTCCTTGTAGTTCCTTTGCCTTCTCTGTAAAAAACATCAATTTCAGAGGAGGTTTCTGCATCTCCTGCTCAACTTCCACTGCTCCAAGACACTGACCAAAATGTGACTATGTGGTCTGCAGCAGGGTGGGAAACCCTGAGCACCTGAGCTGCTTTCCACAGCATTTGGGTGAACACTTGGCATTTTCTATTCCCATTAAAGCAAACAGAGATGAGCAGCATCTTTTAGATCCTCCCACAGAAATGGCCTAGGAGGGGAGCCAGGAGTCACCTGAACCAGGACAGGTGAGGCCTACACGGGGCACTAGGTCAAGGCTGTGTTCCCTCTGGGCACGGTGAACAACCCTCTCCCCTCCCTCCTGCAGCAACCAGCACAGCCGAGTTACGACTGTTCTCTGGGAAGAGGTCTAGTCCCGGTGACACGACCGGAGCTTAGCCTGAGCATGGCCTGCACACACTCCTCAGGGAGCTGTGCTCACCTGTGGCTGCCAAGGGAAGGGACCTCTGGGTGGGCTGTATGAGGCAGAGGTTCTTCTCTCTGACCCAGCACAGAGAAATTCAATCTTTCCAACAAAACTCTGGATTATTTCTCAGTGCTGGACTGTTCTCAAATGGAAGACAAGGGAAATGAAACAAAGAACAAGCTATAAGGTGTACAAATGCTGAGAGAAATACGGTGACAAACTGTGAAATCTATTAAGAAATTAAGAACTAATCTCCTGCCTTCTTACTATCAGTATTTAAGTTCTGATTCACAGAATCACAGAACATGCAGAGCTGGAAGGGATCCCTGAGGATCACCTAGTCCAACTCCTGGTCTTGCACAGGACATCCCTGAGAGTCACACCGCGTGCCTGAGAGTGTTGTCCAAGTTCACTCCTGTCCTTCATTAGACCTTAACGGATGCAAACATGAGACGTTGTTTGGATGCAAAGCAACATCCATACAGAACAGACCAACTTTTAATCTCCTCTAACCCCAACAGCTGATGTAACTCACAGGTGTGTGATCTGCCCTGACAGTTCACTGCTACGGGAAGGTCCTGCTCCTCCTCTGCTCACCCCCGACACACTAACACATCTCACGAGACGAGGCACTTCAGCTCACCAGAGCAGCAAAAGTATCGGTCAGACAAAAAAACGTATTTAAGTTGTGAAACAGATAAAACCTACAATAATAAAGGTCTGAATAACTACAGGGGATTGCACACAGGGAAGGAGAGATGCTTTCTGGAAAAGGAGAACGAACACTCCCTCATCACCAATTTGCTGTACATACAACAGCTTTTACGAGGCACTTCAGCTCACCAGAGCAGCAAAAGTATCGGTCAGACAAAAAAACGTATTTAAGTTGTGAAACAGATAAAACCTACAATAATAAAGGTCTGAATAACTACAGGGGATTGCACACAGGGAAGGAGAGATGCTTTCTGGAAAAGGAGAACGAACACTCCCTCATCACCAATTTGCTGTACATACAACAGCTTTTATCTTCCTGTTTTCATTTGGAAAACTCCTTGAACTCCTCAGTTCACCTAAAACCACGTCTAATTAGACTATATTAATTTCCCATCTATATCTTAAGTCATTATTTTTATTTCTTTAGCAATTTTTACACGCCTTTAGATCCCAAATTTCACAAATATGCACTAGAGCCAACACCGCAACTGAGCAGGAAGCAACGCCCGATACAATCACAAGAGAAGGAATACGTGCCAGGTTTCCTGGGATATTAGACAACCATTTGTCTT